CACTATACGCTGTATGTCCAAGTGTGGTCCAAGCCATCAGAATGGCCTATCAATTTAGAATATTCTCATAAACCTTTAAGGGCTTTGTTTATATAGCAGCATAGTATACTAATAACAGTAAAATCTTTTGACATATAGTGGGCAGGTGTTAAAGCTCTGCTCTTTTATTAACTATGTGAATTTGAGCTAATTATTTTACTTTGTCAAATTCAGTTTAGTTAAGTAAAATAGAGATCATATCAATCTCATATGGTTGCTACAAAGATAAATATATATAATTCATGGAAGCACTTATCATAGTACCAAATACTCCCTTTTTTCCAGTTGATTACTTCCCTTTTTAAGGAGTCATTTTACCAAATACAGTTTATTAACATTTGTTTTTGAAAAATCTATACAGTAAATTAGGACAAAGAAAAGAGAACTACTTCTTGAATTGTGCACAGTAAGTTAGGTTGTATTAGTTCATTCAACAGATAGAATAACCAAGTCCCAAAGACTGTAACTTGCTACTTATAAAGTGAATATTCCAGAAAAAAAATTGTTCAAATGTTCATAAATTTTTAAAAATATTTTATCCCCTCTCACAGATTAGTTTTGCAGCTTTTCTACCTTTCCCAGTCTGATTGATAGGAGTCTTGAAGTTTACTCTGTGGAGAGTCTGAACCAGACTCTGGGCTCAGACACCAGGCACAGCCACGAACAAGGGGACTGAGCTGGAAAGACAGATCACATAAATTCCACCAGCTCTCTGAATACTGGAAACATCATTATTAAGGTCACTCTCCTTCTATTCTCTTGAACTAGAAGACTGGAGTCACCTCTCTGTTGAGTTTGAAGTAAAATGCTGAAGTTAGTGTTCCTCCAAAAAATAGCCCTCACAAACCACAGAGGAGTGAAATCTCCCAGTGTCCACATGTGGCCTGAACTCACAGAGAGGCCTATTGACTTAGGATAGTCTAAGCTTCAAGAGAATAGCCAAGGACCCCCAAGCTGTTGGAGAAAGCTTACAATGTGACTCACTGAAACTCAGAAGAAACAACTCTAAATGGCAGTAATCATCCAACGGCAGAGGCTTCTTGAGGTGCAAAACTTTCTAAGGTGAATACTGGGACTCATCTTTTTGTATTGGTCGGTTTCATTGTGTGGGTGGTAGCTGGAAATTTTCACACAGGCTGACCACAGAGCTTGCTCCTGTACTGAAGCTTTTGGTTGGAAGCCGTGGAACAGGGAGTTTTGTTTGTTTGTTTTTTAAGACAACCTTCTGCTGGGATGGAGAATGAACACCAGAAGACAATTTACTAGGAATTCTCTTGGGTCCACTCTTCACTTACCAAATCTTTGCATTTGGCAAGTACTGTCCACCACTTTCTGTGCCCAGATTTTTGTGCCATAGTAGGAAAGGGGTAGCACACCGCTGTTTGTCACTGGTCAGCTTAATATACTGACACAGACTTCTGGGGTGGCAGTTCTTCTCTTTCCAAAAGCTGTGGGGTCAGACAGACCAGCAGTTGGCAAAGTCTACTAACCTCATTTTGGCACCAGGCTCCTGCAGCTTGATATTGACATCTACTTGATATTGACATCTATTGATAGTCAGTAACATTTCAAGGGTTTATCACCTGGACTTTGAGCCTAAAAGGATGGGATTGGTATAGGTTGGGGATGGTCTTTAAGGAAAGAAGTGGGTATAGCAGTAAAGCCTTTGGCTTTGGTTTTTCCATCATCATTTTTCCAGGAAGGAAAAATTGACGTTTTTCTCAATTTTGTAGTGAGAAAAAGGTGACATGAGGTTGACACGCCCTCAATGGCTAATTTATTAAGTAAATAACATTGCAAGAAAAGGGCCAGGTCTCCCATCCCCCAGCAGTTCCTCTCTTTCCCTTTTTATAAGACTTCACTTTTTTAGAGCAGTACTAGGCTCACAGAAAAACTGACAGAAAATTGCTCAAATTTCCTGTAGACTTCCTGACCCCCTATGTACAATCTCCTCCATTCTTACCACCTTATACTAAGTGGTAAGTTTTTACAGTGGATGAACCTACATTACCACTTTATCACCTAGAGTTCATAGTTTACATGAGGATTCACTTTGAGTATTGTACATTCTATGGCTTTGGACTAATTTATAATGATATTTATCCACCATTATAGTGTTGTACAGGGTAGTTTCACTGCCCTAAAAATCCTCTGTACTCTGTTACATTCTCTTTAGTCAGGATTTTGTAGTGGCTGAACAAGTTGAGTTTACAAAATAACACATATAATAGTGGTTTGAATGGGTTCCTTAAGGGATGGAATTCAGTGAAGAAATAAAAGCAACATTTATCTAGCAAATACTATGTGCTAGGCACTAATAGTATCTAATCAAGAACTTTGAAGGAGGGGAGTGGAAAACATCTCACAGAGGATAATTATCTTGCTTTGAAACTTTTGAAGCTCTTATCCTTGAAAAGATTATTGTGCTCTAAATACCAAAATTCAAATATTTTATATTTTAATTTTTCAAGGTAATAAAAATTAACTTGAAGACAAAATAGCTGTTCTTGAGGTTTTTCTTTGAAAAATTATAGATTTGACAATAATTTAAGCTGAACCTTCTGACTTCATTTTTGTCTCTCTTTTTTTTTGGTCTCTAAAATGCATATTTCAGACAAGGGTTTTTAAAATTATGAGTTATAATTAAAAAATGGATCATGTCAACAACTCTCTGGAGGAACACTCTTGAGAAAAATCCAGGGACAGTGAAAAGGACATGAGGAATATGGGGGAAGCCTGAAGGTATGAACTTGATCACCCGTACCTGGACCACTTCAGGCTCAATCCCTTGAGGTCCCTGGGGGTAGGCAGCAGAACACCAGAGAGCATACACTCTGCAGTGGCATCTGCAAAAAATAGGATATTTGCTGAGTGTGGGCATGCAGAGACATCAGGGTGGAGTCCCAGGATAGTCAGAGCGAGGACATGGCAGCTCAGACAGCTGGCTGTGAACAGAGAACATCTATGGTAAGAGCAGGAGCTGATTCTTTAAATAACTTGCCAGGCTGTGGGCCAGGACAATGTAATTACAGGAAGGCCTGCCCTGGAATAGGTCTTTACTGGTAGAGGATGTCGATCTTGGACTTCACCTGGGACTGGTGCCAGGCTACTCTCCCTAGGCCATTCCTGAATAGGTGGAACCCTGTGGTTTTATGCTGCCCTTTCATTATTGAGGTGTGGGAGGTGGTAAGGGGGTGGGATGGGGCCAGGCTACCCATATAATTGGTATGGAATTTGGTTTGATTTTTAAAAAATGCTCCATTTTTTTTTTTTTTGCTTGGGGTCGTATTAGAGATATAAGACTTGGTTCTGATTGCTTCTCTTCATCATAATCTTTCATTGCCCCAAACTGCTCTGCATTTAGTACAAATTTTATCTCCCTGACCCTGGCCTTTTAAAAAAGTGTTTGAATCTCATTTTTAGAATTTCCTTTTAGACCAATATTAGAAAAATGATGAACATTAAAATTTATACCCACAAATTTCAGAGATTTTCATACCCCACTGGAGTTCTAGAAGTTATAGAAACTCGAATTTTCTGCAAAATAGGAAAATAATACATTTTTTTCTAGATACTGTAGTGAAGTCTGTGTCTTCCCTGGTCACATAGAAGGAGTTGTCTCTATAGGGAGAGAGTGGGAACAGAGAGTGGAAGGTGGGCATCTGAGGAAGTATTTTTTTTAAAAAACCTTTTTTTAGTTGTAGTTGGACACAATACCTTTATTTTATTTATTTATTTATATTGGGTGCTAAGGATTGAACTCAGTACCTTGCATGTGCTAGGGAAGTTGTTTTTAGGAAAGCATTAAAATTTAAATTGCATGTTTATGGAAAAACCATAAAGGATTGCAGACTCAGAGAAAATAAATTTTCAATGACAAAGGATTTGAGTACTAGAGGAAGACAATTGTTTGCTTCTTGGAGGTGTCATTTATGTGAATTCTAAAAATTACCAATCCCGTAAATTTCAGTTTTATCATTTGTAAAATTAGTATAATAATAAAATGTATTTCGGTAAGAGTTATGGAAGATAAAGTATATACACTTAGTGTGTTCTTTGACTTACATTAAGTACCCAATAGAAATTACTCATTCATATTATTATTAATTTGAAAAAGTTCAACTTAAATATTTATTTTTAGCACATATCAAAATTATATTTCCTTTATTAATGAGACAACCAGCAAGAAGACAAGGTTGCTCCTAAGAGCATTTGAGACACAGGGACACACACACAATTTTATGTATGTATATAGTATGTAAATTCAAAAACATATGTGTAAATAGTGAAGATAATGATGTTAAAATAAGATTTCATGTTAGATGTATGATTAAATAATGTCATACAGAACAATAAAATCATATTGCCTTAAGGATTAACTGATATATTGAACTATGCAAATAGTAATGATATTAATTTATATAAAACTTTCACCTTATGAGATTATAAAAGGACCGACCCTTTACCCATTATGAATTGTTAATCAAATATATTATGATGTCCTCCAAGAGTGTGAAGTTAGAGTCAAAGAGGTATTTTAGAAAATGCTGTAGTTTGATATTCAAGAATCAACCATCTATTTACATGTTTTCATGTTCATAATTAATTTGTTTTTAAAGTTATTAAGGGCAACTTTGGAAGATACTGTGCAACCTAGAAGACATTATGATTTTAAAATATGAGAAGGCAAAGAAGGAAATGTGTGAATGGAAAAGATATCTTCTATTACACCTAGAAGATTATACACAACAGAGGGATTTAGAATGAATAAAAATTGGTGTGCTAGCTGTTATTATTTGTATATTGTAAAATTTGACTTTAAATTTTATTTTAAAATGTAATCTCTTATTGCATCTTCAAAATAAGAGCAGACAAAAAGGAATGAGAAAAATAAGCAAAAAGTTCTGGAAAACTGAAAATAATATAACCCAAATCAAACCAAAGCAAATCAAAGAAAAAAAAACAACAAAAAAACCCAAAACAAAAGCAAAAACTGAATTAAAATAGAAGGGTTGAAAGAAAAAGGTGAGGAAATTTTCCATAAACAATAAGAAGACAAAGACAAAGAAAGGAAAGTAGGTTCTCCGGTCTCGGGCCTAAGTCGTGGAGATATGGCTAAACTCACTAAGAAAGTCATAATCGTCGGTAAATATGGGACCCGCTATTGTGCCTCCCTCTGGAAAATGATGAAGAAAATTGAAATCAGCCAGCACGCCAAGTGCACTTGTTCCTTCTGTGGCAAAACCAAGATGGAGAAGAGACCGGCTGTGGGGATCGGGCACTGTGGTTCCTGCATGAAAACAGTGGCTGGTGGTGCCTGGACCTATAACACCACCTCTGCTGTCACAGTCAAGTCTGCACTCAGAAGGTCGAAGGAGTTGAAGGACCAGTAGAAAGTTATACCATACAACAAAATTGTGGTTTGTTGTTCATTGTATTAATTGGATCTTCTGATGTGAATTGCATTAATATTGTCCCTTCAAAAGAGATTTGTAAACTGAAGCCCTTCTAATTTGAATTGGAAAATTTTGCTGAGATGGGTTATTGTAATTCAAGTTTTTTTTTTTTTCCCAGTAGTAAGATGATAATGGCATAAAACTAAGTCTTACAGCTTAGGTATATGCTTAGTTTTTTTTTTTTTAAAGCACTGTTCAACTTCTCAGAGATACATTGACATATTGTGCAAAATTTGTTTTAAAGGTAAAATGTGCTAAAATACACAAAGGACATACAAAAATTGCCTCTTTTGGTGTTTCATTTGACTGCACATTGTATCAATGCTTTTAGAATATGTAAAACAGTTATATAACAAATTTTGAATGTGTCTGCTATCCATTTTTTTTTTTTTTTTTTTTTTAGTTTTCACACAAAGGTTCATAGATTGAATTTGGTTTCATACAGATGGTAACAAAAAAGTATAAGTTCCTTGGAGGGATTTACTAGTTATGATTAGTTCTCTGGTGGTTATTATCTTTTTCTCAGCCATGTCTAAACAGCCGTCTGTGGTAGGGACTCCAAAATCAGAGTAATTCTTCATGAATGTAAAGGTTATAAAACATGGATTCCCTTTACTGTTAGAATAAAGACCTTTGTGACTTTTCTTGAATTGACCCCTTTCTGCTAAATCTTGCTTTTGCCCTTTAGTGACTTGTTGTTGTTTTTTTAAATAGCTTATACACAGATGTTTCCTTCATCTACATAAGAGCTGGCTCTGGCACGAATATCACTTTAGAGCAGTGCTCCTTAACTGGGCCAACCTCTTCTAAACCTATAAATAATGGGTTAGATTTTTTGTTTGGATTATTGTTTCAACAGAATTTAGCTTATTGTAGTGTACTTAGTACCAAGCATAATTCCTTGCGCTTAGCCTGCATAAGCAATGAGTAAATGTGGTCTTGTTTTACAAAAAAAGAAAAAAAAGGAAAGTAGGAAGGAGAGGAGAGGAATAATAAAATGATACATTTACTAAATTTAATCTTAACAAAAATAAGGCTAAGGATTATAAATTCTAGGGGAGGTGTTTGAATGAAACGTCCTTAAATTTGAGGAATTAATAATGTTAACATTATGAGTGTCTACTACTTGATAGGCATATGATCTTATCTCTCTGCCCTACATTCATCTCTAGATCAAGAAAAATCAGTCAATGTAGTGATATTATGTTAAAGGGAAAAAGCATATATAATAGAAATATACACTGAAGTATTTTTGTTTGAAATATTATAAGTATAGGATTTGCTTTAAAATGCTTTAGCAAAAAACCATGTAGTGATATATGAAAAAGGCTGTTAAAATAAAGATAACTGTTGATGTTGGATAATGGATTTAAGAAGTGAAATGTACTGTGAAGTTGTATTTTATGCGTTTAATAAAAAATAAAAAGGCAACTAAACAGTAAAAAGAAGTAACATTGATGAATCAGTCATTTGGCAAATTGAATTGGTTTCTGAGAGAGAACCCTCCCAGAGGGTCTGGTAACTTACTGGGTGGTGAGGATAATAAGAAAGAAGGAATACAGGATGGGCTCAGATATTGATACCTTGTTAGGTTGAAAACATTAGAGAAAGAAAATATTTTAGGAATAAGATAAATGTATTACCCATGTCTGAGTTTTACATGTTTGTGAGATATTCAAGTGGAGGTATTTGATTGTCTATTGAGAATACAGAATGTAAGTTGGAGCTGGACATGAACATGTGACAGCTATCAGTTGTATAGCACGGGTTCACCTTAGCCAATTTAGATTGAATGCATGTTTATCTCTAGAGCTTTCTGCTACATGGTATTGACCATTGGCCAATGCACTGAAATATGTTTATTAAAGATAAATTAGGTTCTATTGACCATGGGTCCATAATCTGTTTCAGGGCTGGAAGTTCCAGCTTGCCAATGCAGTTTGAAATAATAATTAGATTATAATAATCTAATAATAAAAATCATTGCACCTGATTTCAGTAGAGACTAGGTGGTTTCAATAGTTCAGGTTGGTCACATTGGTGAATATTGCCTATAAGACCAGTTCATTGTAAGAACAGCAGACTTAAGTCTTCTTGGCACCAAGAAGATTCCTACATATGTTGTTGATGGCTCTGCTCTGGAAATCTCTGGACTTCTCTCAATGTATCCTTCTTCGGCTGTTTCTGTACTGTATACTTTACTTGTAACAAAGTTTGGTAGATCTAAATGGTTTGAGTCTTGTGAGTTCTTTCACTGATTAAATATGTAAGGTAATTAACTCATAATAAACATATTAATAAAGGACATTTGAGCCCTAGAAGTGGATGAATTTGTTCCAGAAAATTGTATGGAATGGAGAGATAAGAATGACGAGATTGGAAATTTGAGGAACTTCATTCAGTATTTAATGATGGATGGGGAGGAAGCCATAGGGTGTAGTGAGCATAACATCAGGAGGTAGATAAATCAGGCTTGCACATTCCTGTTTACAGAAGAGAAAATCTCAGGTTAAAAACATTTGGACTTTTCAAGGCCACACAACCAGTTACTTAGAGTTCCAAGTCTGACTTCTTCAATGATAGCCCATTGCATCTTGGTTAAAATTAGTTTTTTGAAAATAGTTCCCTAGAGAAAGCTTTAAAGAGTATAGCCAAATGTTACAGGGAGGTTCTGTGGCTTTTCTGACCAGTAGAGATGTTAAATAGCAGAGATTCTCCACCATCCTGCAATTAGGTTTTCTGAGACATCTCTGCCCAGCAGGGAGTGTCTATGACTTTATTCAAGATTTGTGAACCTTCAGGTTTAGGATTTATTTTAAAAAATCAATTTACATTCCCACTAATGCCTAGAATAGCCTCCCCTTCATCAAACTGCCTTTCAGTAAGTCCATGTTATCTTCTTGCATTTTTCTCCTGTAGCACAATCTTGGAACATCATGTGCCCTTAACACACCTTGAAAGCATTTATTTTACATTGCTAGTGCTGGTATAATTTGCTTTTTTATAGCACATATATTCCTGAGATGAATGTCACTTAAAAATGGATTCCTATTTTAAGAGCCCCAAACTGTGGGCTATGTTGAAATCGAGCTCTGGGCAGCTCTTAACTTCAGAAGGCTTTGCAGCTCTTTCTGTCACGGAGTAACTTTCCTTTGCCAATCTTTAAAATGACAGGAGGCTTCTTTAAGTCAGTAAAAATCTTGATCCTAGAAGTTATGCTCAATAGGCACACATCACCTAATGTCACAGAGTCAGTATTAGCACATTTAAGTGTCAAGATGGGCACAGTGGAGTACGCCTGTAATTCCAGCAATTTGGGAGGCTGAGATGGGAGATAGGAGACTGCAAGTTTAAAGTCAGCCTTGGCAATTTATCGAGGCCCTATGCAACTTAGAGACCCTTTCTCAAAATAATATAAATAAATAAATAAATAAATGAATAAATAAATAAAGGACTAGGGATGTAGCTCAGTGGCTAAGCACCACTGGATTCAATCGCAGTTTTTTTTAAAAAAAACCCAAACACAAAAATATAGTAAAACTAGTTTTGTGTAATCTACATTATTACTTGTCTTTTAGAAATGGGTATACCACATAGCAATTTATAGGAAATCTCTAATGAGTTCCTTCAGTATTAGAAAAATATAGAGGTCTCTCTGGATTTGCCAATTTTTGAATATGAGCTATTGAACATATTTACATTTCCTTCTATTGAACTTAGTAAATATTAATGAGGAATATATGCATTCATCATTGTGTTAAATATTGGATGTGTAAGTTAAACAGTATTTGAAAATACTATTGACTTGCCTCTAATATAGTTGGGAATGAAGGTAATTTCCTGAGTTTCCCAACATAAAGGAAAGACAAATGTTTAAGAAGAAGGAAATGCTAGCCTGATTTGATCAATATAGAACGTACATATGAATCAATATGAATCAAATTATCAAAATCTGCCCCTAAATATGTACAATTATTATACACTAATAAAAAACTATAATATTCCATATATTTAAAAGAAAGTAAAGGGCAGAATTTGACCAAGTGGATTTAAAGAGATATAAGGGAATAAGGGCCTTGTAATGCTTTATTAATCAAACACTTTGATAGTGGGCATTCTTGACAATCATTTATGCTGGGTGTTAATGTCTCTGCTTAAAGGCAGCATTGCCCAGACCCAAATGGTGTCACCTTACTCAGTGTGTGATGGCATTAGAACCTAGGTTAGTTGGATGCAGAGTTACCAGGGCCACCACCTTTGCCTTTTCTGAAACAATTTCTATGAATTTCCTTCTCCCCTTTGTTAACTATGGGTGATTGTAAATTTCCATCCTTAACCCTTGGCTTATGGTTCCTGTGATCACCTCTATTATATGGTTTCTTAATGTATGTCTTGATATTTCCAAGCTCTGATCTCACACTGAACTTTAAAAAATATGTCAAGTTAAAAAATTTTTAAAATTTTTAAATTGACTTAATATTTGTACTCACTTATGGGGTACATTATGGTAATCTGATACATGTATACAATGTGTAATGACCAAGTTAGGATAATTGACATTTCTCTCTCCTCAAAAAGTATCATTTGTATGTGTTGGGAGCATGCTGACAGCTTTTTACTGACCATCTTCTCTTAGATGTACTTTGAGCATCTGGCAGTTGGGTCTAAACTCTTTTTATTTAAACGCCTTACTGCCTTTTTTTCTAGGTCTTGGGATTGATGTTTTAGTATCTGTTGATCCTTAGTTTTCTCCGCTCTATTCTTCCCTCATGATCATTAATCTAGAAGATCCTATGACTCTTCCACTGCTATACCCAATGCCTAGGACCTGAAGAGCCCAGGTTGTCTAAAAAAAAAAAAAAAAAACAGAAAATTTGATTCCTTTGATTCAAGGAAATGTTCTTGTGCAGAGAATAATGATAGTTTCCACTTAATAG